TCCTGCTGACTCTTAGATACTTGTTCCTATCTTTTGAAAAATTTCTACATCAGATCTCTTTTCCCTATCTTAGCTCTGCATTAATACTATGTACCATGCAGCATCCAATTCATCAGACTTTTTCCCTAATACTGATACATAGATTTCTGGACGGTTTTGGGGATTTGTGTTCTCTCTTGTTCCCACACTCATTCCTACAGTTCCACCCTGAATGCGATCCAGGAGGAAGTGTAGTTTTCTTGTTTTTCAGTCTCAGCACAGGTGTAGTGCTACTTTAGCTTACTGGAAGGGCTGATGACTGCACTTGGTCTTCCTCCAATGTGATTGTACCTGGTATCTCTGTTTCCAAGCTCATACTCTCTCTCTTCATCACCTGGCCTCACCAGGTCTTCTAATAGCCTTCCTGGCTTATTAGTGTTTTCTGAGGAGCCAGTGGAGACTTCTCAACACATTGCAGACTTTTCTGTCACACTCTGTTTTCTCTCCTTGGAAGTTTGAAGCTCTTTGCACTTTAGTGTCTTTCATACTGGACTCCTTCATCCTTCTGCTTAATAGCACAGCTCACCCTGTCAACTCCATACTGTCTTGTTTTGTACCTTTCTCAGTTGTTCCTGTTCTGTGGAACTTCACTGCTGTAAGTCCTGTATTTAGTATAAATTAAATTCCCCCTTAAAGACTTTTTCTTCATCCTCCAAATTTGCAAAATTCTTATTCTGTTGGATTAATTCCTGCAGTCCAAGAAATTCTATGCTAAATCCAACTTAATATGTTTGTAGCAGAATTACAGAATGCATTAAAGTTTTTTTTACGTTCACAACATTTGAGTTATTTTCTAGAAATTTTGTAAGACAAGTCTAGCTGCTAAGTTTACTTAACTTCAAGTTAATGAATTAATGCCAAAATACAGTAAAAGTACTGGGGGTTAGGAACTTCGGGAAGACTTCTGACTGTCCAAAATCAGTCCTGTTTAGACGTGCAGTGCTTGTTGCTGTTGTAGGTTTGGGTGCTATATCTAATATTTTGTTTAAACTTCAAAATTGTCATACAGCTCTTCTTTCTTCTCAGATAGAGACTCTGAGATATGATCTTCAGGCTGCGCTGGATGAGTTGCAGGATGTGAAAGAGGAACGCTCTTTTTACCAAGATAAGGCTGACAGACTAAACCAAGAACTTAATCATGTCTTAGGAGGGAATGAAAACCGTATCATTGACATAGATGCTCTGTGTATGGAGAACAGGTGAGTACATTGCAAACCTTTCCCTA